TGAAAATGACTTCTAAGATTTCTTCATCAATCAGGTAGAATTCTTAAAAATACTTCTTCACTTTAAAAGTATTCAAGAATCCAATTTGTTTTCTTGAAAAGTATCCATTGTCGAAAAGCTTGATCAAAAATTTTTTTTTTATTTTATTGAAAATATATCTAATTCTTCCATCATTTGGGCTAAAATTAAAAATATTTTTTCACCTAGAAATTTCTTAAATAATCATTAATTTGTGATTACTAAGAATATTATCCTTGAAATTTATTATTATTTTACAAGTTTTATTTTTAAATTTTTGACCATTTGGGTTTATTTAGAAAATTTTTTATCTATTTCTGAATTTTTCACCATTTTGGTCTATTTAGAATCTAAACTCTTGTTAATATCTTAATCTTTGAAAAGAAAATAATATGACTTATTTTTTGAAGTCTCATTTAGATTTTTTCATCATTTAGAGTGAATTTAGAAAAAAACCTTTCACCTAAAAATCTTATGAAAGTTCAACCATTTGTGATTTTTCTTAAGATTTCATCCTTAAATAATTATCAAATATTTTCACTAAATTTTAATTTATATTTTAATCTTTTATTTTTTATTTGGAAAAGAATACAATCACTTTCATTAAAATTTCATCTAAATTATTCTACCATTTGAGTTAAATTTAAAAAATTTATCATTTGAAAATTCTAAGAATTTCATTATTTGATAATTTTTAAGTTATTCCCAAAATTTTATTAACCTTATTTATGTTTTATATTTTATATTTGTTTATAATTATTCTTTCTAAAATAACTTTCTCTAATTCTATTAAAAAATTTAATCATGTAAGACCTTTTAAAAATAAATAAACGATCAAATAAGTAAATAAATAAACTAAAATAAATAATAGTGAAAAAAAAACTAAAAACAGGAAACTAGCTCGGCTTGGCTTGGTATCACAACTCGGTTGCAGGCACAAGAATAGCTCGAGAGACATAGCTTGGCTTGGTTTGGCTTCATTTCACAACTCAACAATAGAGTCGGATACCAAGTTAGGCAGAACAAACTGGGTCAAGTATAACAAAACACATGGATCCTGGGGGTTTTTTTAAGGGGAAAAATGACGTCATTTAATCCATATATAAAAGCTCAAAATTTTGTTTTCTCCTTTAGATTTTCATTTGCTCTTTCTGTCTACCTTATTTTTTCTCTTCCTCTCTCTTTACAAAAAGTTTACCAAAAAATTCAAGAACCAAGAACATGCTCACCGTGTTCTTCAAATTTTCAAAATCCGACGGTGTCATATCATCGTCACTGCCACTCACTTAGTCGCCTTCGGCCACTACTCATTGCATTGATTGGCTTCCAAATTTCACCAAATAGTTTACCCTTATCTCCTCATATTGGATATAGGCTCAAATTTTTGCAAATCCTCTTCAAAAGCCCTGGATCTAGAGCTACAAACTATAACTTTTTCCATTATTTCAGCTTTTTTTCGCTATATGATCAAACTGATTTTTGAATATGTTGCACACCATCCTTTGTTCTCCTTTCCTACCGTTTCGATTTTTAAACAGCATCTCCACCATAGACCATCGTTGGCGCTCCATTGCTAGGACAAGCATTTTTGCAAACTTTATAATTTTTGTGTTTTCTGAGATTGTTATTGGTGCTCGACTTGTTTCTGTAACTATTTTTCCTAACTTAGGTTTTGAATTTCTAATTGTGTCGTCCTTACTGATTCCCAGATTAAGATTGGTTTTATTTTGAGATTGTTGTATTTTGTTTTTAGAATCATTTTAACCTTGATCATTTTTTCCTTGATGAAACTGATTCTATCGGTTTCTATCGATGATTATGGCAATGGTAGTATGGGAATGGCTTGTTGGTTTTGTTAATAAATCTAGTAGTGCTTGGTCTTTCGATGGTGGTAGTGAATAAGGTAGAAAGAACTTGTAACAAAGATTTAAGGAGATTGATTTTGGCTTGAATTTTATTTTTTATGAATTGTTGTGTATCCCTCTACTGATTTATAGGTTAATTTATAGGAACACTTAAAGGAGTTTTTAATTGACTGTGATTTCATCTTTAATTAGAATTTTGTATTATCATGAAACTAAAATTTATCCTCTACAAATTAAATCTAACTTTAATTCTAATAACACCCATTTTTCTCACGATAAAATATTTTTTTATTAAACTGAAAAGATAAATAAACTATAAATAAAATAAAAATAAATTTTAAACTCAAGATAAAATAAGATGTCTACACTGGGTGATAGAAGGGGATATAGAGGATATGTTGAATCATTGTATGGGTGCTCCTTTTAGGGGTACTATAAAAAAAATATGGCTAGCAATATGTGAAATAAAAGCCTAGTCAATTTGGCTGGCAAGAAATGAAACTAGTTTTCAAAACAAAAACTGGAAAGTGGAAGATATTTTATTTTTTGTGAAACTAAGGATTTTGTTTTGGATCAAAGCTATGGAAGAAGGGGGAAAAACAAAAGAAACGAAGTGGTGGGTGAAACCCATGGTTCAATATACTAGGGAAGGACAATTAAAAGCCAAAATTTGGGGTTTAATGGGAATGCCCAAGAGGTAATGGTTTGAAGTTTAATGTTAACGGAGCTACTAAGAGCAATCCAGGTCCTGTGGGTTGCGATGGGTTGCTTAGAGAGGCATTAGGTAATATAAAAAACATGTTTTATGGCCTTTTAGATATACAAGACCTAATGTGGGTAGAGTTGGCAATTAAAAGAGCACTGCAAGTGTTGTTAAATTCTTCATGGCATAATGAACATGCGCTAATCATATGGACTAACTCTAAAATGGAGATAACTTAATGCTAAATAAGATAGCAAGGTCGTGGACACAGTGGAAAGAAATGGAAGAGATCAAGATGTTTAGAGAAAAAGTTAGACGGGTGGACTTTGTGCATGTCCATAGAGAGGCTAATGGATTTGCTGACTCATTGGCCAAAATGGGTGTTGAATCCTTAGAGTTATTTTTGGCTTGGCTGTAATACTAATTATATATATTCATTGTAAGTAATAGATAGAGGGCGATATAACAATCTTGTAGCGAGATCTTTATGAAGGGTAGGGAGTAGTGAATTGTACTTCTTAAACCAAATTAATAAAAAGGTTGGTTAAGTAAAAAAAAATTATAATTTGTTGGAATTGCATCTATACAAACTTTTCATAAAAACACTTTGATTTTACTCGGAGCTATTAGTCTCATACAACTTTCCAAACTTTCTCATCAACCACATATAAGCTCAAGGGTCTTGTTCCTTGTCTAAGATTTGTCACTTTTTTTAGTATTCTATACCCTGATCTTACTGTATACTCCTTTTTATTCTCATCTGCCCATACAATTTCATCTTTACAATTTTGGCCTTTTATAAGAACTTCCTTAATAGCATTTTTCTTATCCCCATTTATCCATGGTTCAATACTTTCCAAGCTCTATTCTTTTTTTTTTTTTGTATTTTATCAATTCCCCCATTTTCACTGGCACTCTTCTATCCCTTGATTTTAAAAGCTGTAGCTTTTTTCCTTTAAATCTAGGAATCTAACAATCTTTCCATATCTCAATATTCTACCCATTCCCTACTTGCCACATTAGATTTTCCTTAAGATAATCCATGCTTGAAAGCATGCTGCTCCACACCCATGATGCTTTTGCTCCTTTTGTAGCCTCTAGAATTGGACTTTGAGGGAAGTAGATCCCTTTGAAGATCCTTACCTATAGTGCATTTGGGTTTTGCAACATTTTCCAGCTTTGTTTTGCCAACAACGTTTGGTTGAATATTTCCAAATCCTTAAACCCCATACCACCATCCATTTTGGTTTTGGAAGCCTATCCTAACTTTGTCAATGTATTTTATTGTCATTACCCCCTTGCCCCCACCAAAACTTTGCCATCATAGAGTTCAACTCCTCACATGTCTTTTTTGGAAATTCGTAATAGGACATTGTGTAAGTGGGGATTGCACATGCAACAACTTTTATTAAAACCTTCTTTCGTCCTAGTGACAAAGTCTTTTGCTTCCATCCTTAAAGCTTTACCAAGGGTGATACGAGTTTAGTGGCAAATTAGAGGTCAATTTGTAGGTAGCATCAATAGCATAAAATTTTTCATCAGCCAAGGAATTAAATAAGAGTGCTTTCCATGTATATCATAAAATTTTTCATTAAAGAAGGATTTTTTTTCAAAACAATCCAATAAAAAGACAAAGATATTGTCTGAAAATTTCAAAACTAAAAAGGCATCACTTTCTAGATTTAGGTCTCAGTGTCTATTGCTTTCTATACTAAATAAATCCCTCATCAAGATTATTATGAATGGAAAGAGGTTCTGTTGGAAATAATGACTCAAATCTCAAAAGAGATTTATTTGGGATTGATTAGATATTACTTGATAGATAAAAAGACTTGCAAGAGAAGAGTTCTAAGAGAAAAATAATTTTTGATAGGTAAGTTTGTTTGTTTATAAATAGATAATTAATAGGAATTCGTATTTGTTTGTATCATGTAAATATAAATAGATAATTAATAGGAATTCCTTTTCACATACCATTATTTGAAAGAATAAGTTGTGTGATACTTCTTACATTAATACTGTAAAATTACTGAAGTGGTTTGGGTGTATCTGATGCATATAGATAATATACATAGTACATGAGTAAATTTTCTCTATTTTGTCTAAATATTTACCAAAACCTTATGTAGAAGCATGTAAGGCAACAAGGCCTGTAAAACTTAACAATTTTGAAGTTTTTAATTGGTAGAAAAAGCTATATAATATTGATCTGTTAAATGAATTAATGCAAAATATTAAGAATGAGAGAACTTGTAGAATTAAAGTGCCATAAAATTTTGAAATAGTAAAAGCATTTTCTTCTGCAATAATTTCTGGCTAAATGGTGTTATGACGAAGATCTTAGGAAATGCCATGTTGAACTTGTTAATCAATCAACAGTTATACAACTGTTTTCAAAATAATTTCTTGTATTTAGAGAAACCTTATCCAAATTAACAATAAAAAGAATGAATAGCACTGAAACAAGTAGCAAGGATGAATCACCAGAATCAGAAATTATGATTAAATGATAGCACAAAGTGGAACAGATTAAGTTATTCAGATGAAATAAAAAAAAAAAAAAAAAACCAAACAGAATTGTCTTTAAATCCCAAAACACACCAATTCAGTTCTTGATAGGTAGATAAAACACACGAATACAGAAACCCTAAGCTGTCAAAGCTGTTTGTTCTTGTCTTCTTTTATTCAATTGCATCTGCTTCATAAATAAGATCCCTAGAAAAATTGAATTCCATCAGATAATATTTCAGATAACAAACTGATTGTGAACTGTTAAAGTTTAGGGCAAAACCAACCAGATATTTCAAATGGTCAAAACCCCTATTTTATCTTCAACATCCCAAGTATCAACCTTATCAAGGATGTATGCGTCGATCTCAGAGATCCGCTCTTTCAACTGGCGATTGCTTTCCCTAATTTCAGCCAATATCAACGGAAACTCTTCCAGCCCCAGCTTGGCGATACGGGTACTCAGTTTCTGCCTCTTTTTCTTATCCTTTTTCTTCTTATCATCAACTTGCTTTGGTTTGCCAACCTAAAATAGAAATGAAAACAAAAAACCAAATAAAGCGAAGAACAAAAGAAGTATATATTCAGAGCTTGAAAAGGCCAAGAATTTTCCTATAAATTTATTGAAACTATACCTCAAACTTGGGTTTCCTTGATCTGCGGTGTTTCTTTCGGGAAACTTTGGGTCCAGTTTCTTTTCTTGTACCCATGAAATTCTTCATTTTTTCTCTGTCTCTGCACGTCATAATTTAAAGAGAAAAAAAAACTATTTTATTGGAAGATTCCAAACTAAAAGAGAGAAAATAAGGGTGAAACTTGCAAGTAATATGCAACAATCTAATAAACTCGTACAGATAACTGAGAATCGGTAGTTTTTAAGACTAACCTCAAAAATTTGCTGCTGATTAAGTGACGCCGGCTGCGGTGAGGAATGAAGAGAGGGGTGGTGAACAATAGACTTCGACAGTTCGGACAATTACTTGTTCACTAAGAACATTCTTTATAATGGCTTTTTCTTTCTTCTTTTTTCTTTTCTTTTTTTTTAGTTTGACCAAAAGAAAAATGAAAGCCTTTTCAGAAAGATAAGGTGTCCCTGAATCATAAAAGAATAATGATTTTATAGTGTAAGAATATAATTATAAACCGAAATATGGTTATAAAATTATTTTAATTTAACATTTTGTTATATGATTTTTATTTTGTTAATCCAACAATACATAAATTTCATGTTTTATTAATGTAATCATGCATATAGTGTCAAATTTTAACTAAAGTAAAATACTTGTTACTTATTTGATAACAATAAAATTTTAAAAAATTTAATATATATTAATGAAAATTATATTTTAATTAGATTAATATGAATATTGGATTGATTTAAAATTGAAAATACATAACAAATACCAAAAAATTGCTAAACTGCGGCGTCACCGTCTTGGGATGACATTGCCGTTAAGCTTGAAATCGTACGACTGTGGCCGTCTAACAGACGATTCATCAAACGTCTCGCGCGATTGGCTTTCGTCCATCATACGCCACCTCGAAGAGCAGAGAAAAAATATATATATATTTATAATTTTGTTTTTACCTAAGATATATTTTTTTGTCCGGAAACAACAATGAGAATAGAACATATATGTATGCATATACATGTTCTGTTCTCATTGTTTTCAGACAAAAAGGCCCATGTATGTACATATATGTTGTGTTCCCATTATTGTTTCAGACCAAAAAGATCCATCTACTTTAGGTAAAGAAGATTATATATATATATATATATATATGTGCGTGTGTGTGTAACTTCATTAGCATGAACAAAAGTCATTTTGGTTTATTTGAACGGAATTCTTTGTCCGCGAATTGTGCCTTTCTGTCTTGGTGCCCCATCGACCTAATCGATCACTTGAAATAACGCACTTTCGTTTCTCATTTTGGCTAAACTGCACATTCTCACTGCTGTTAAGTTCCAAACTTAAAAAAAAAAAAAAAAAAAAAAGAGTAATAGAAATTTAGTATGTTAACTAAAAAAATTCTTAATTACAATCCCCGATTATAAAACATTAACCCAAAAAATTCTGCAAATACATAAAAACCAAATTCTTCTTCCAAAAGTCATTTAAATTAAAATAGCCTAATATTAAAGATTGGTGATAATTGCCAGATGAGAAACAGTAACCATATCTCTTACATAGAGAGTTTTATGGTATAAAACAGGTTTTGGCTTTACCTTTTCGGGTTAATGTTTTAATTTGTAAGTCCGATGAGATTTCTATATAATAAAATCATAATTTATCTATTTTAGAATGAGATTATGATATTTTATGAGAATTTGAAAAAATAATAAAATTTAAAAAAAATAAAAAAGATAAATCAAGTTAACATGTAAATTGAAAAAATATATATAAATTCAATTTCACTTATTTTGTTCATCTAACAAATAAAAAGAATACTCTGGATTACTTAGTTTGAACTTGTTTTTACCTATTTTATAAATATCAATATTAAAAAAAAATTTTAGCATAATTATGTCACATCTTATTTTAATAAATATATTTCCTTAGTCATTTTATTTTTAGATTAAGTTATTGTATCTCATTGAGCTTATATTCTTTACCTAATAACTGTAATAAAAATTAATTCTAATAATTGAAGAAAAGTAACGAATTTAAATTGTACACTATCAATTTATCTATTTACCTTAAAATAATATTTTATTATATTTATTTTTATCATTTATTATATTTAAATTTTTCATAACTTGTTTTTAAGTTATTACAAGATTTTAAATTTATTTTACGAGAATTGATATATATTTTATTATTATTATCATATTTATTTTAATATTTTTTTGAAAAAAAAAATTGTTTCAATTTCAAAAATAAATTCTTTTAATTTGTCTCTTTCATCTTGGCCTTTAAGATATTTTCTTAATCATTTGACATATATATTTGTACGAAACATAATTAATGTGAATTTTATATTTACTTTGCATAAAAAATTGTACTTCTTTTCTGCAAATTAACAGAAGTAAAAAGTTGCCGTAAAAATGTTCCGAACTTTCGGTAGGCTGACATCTGTTGTAGACACGTGGCTCAATTAATTAATGGTACCAGGCGATGAAGAAGAAGTCCAGTCGCTTTGATTATTCCCATTCTTATCCACTCAAAGTCAAAGACCAGCTTGACATACCGTCTTACCTGCCAATATTTTTTGTCATTGTCTTTGAAGGTTTTTTGTTTTTTCTTTTCTCAAAAGTGCCCGCCAGAATCTTTCACCATAAAAAGCTAGGCTGACTTAAATACTCTTTTATTTAGGAAAAAGATGACTGATTATGCAGCGTGTAGCCCAAGTAAGCCATATAGTTCAATTTGGAAGGAAGCTACCATTACACGGCTTATTCAACTAGGTATTATTAGATGTGATGATTTTAATTAGATATGGTAAGATGAGATAATATAAAAATAATATAAAATTTTAAAATTTAAAATTGATAAAAATTTATATGATTTAGTAAAAATTAAAAAATATATCTAAAATTTAATTTATTGACATAAATTATAATATAATAAATTTTATATTTCACATGTACTTAATATTAAACAGACACAATTTAAATACATAAATTATCAAATTTAAATTCAATGTACTTCCTATATTAGTTTTATTTCCTTGTTGCAATCTCCCTATATGACCAAGCTCCACAACACTATGTATTCCTTCGTTAAATAAATTTGAACTTTTAATTAATCTCCCTATATTAATTTTTTAAATTTTTACTGTTAATATATGATATCATTTTTCACTAATTAAAGTTATCTTTGTACATAATCTTATACATATAGGTTTATATAAACACGTGCGTTAGAAATTTAAATTATTAGGTAAACCCATATCTGCGGTAAGATTTGTTTGACCTGGAAAATCTGCGGTAAGATTTGCAAAAGCTGCAAAATAGTGCCGAACTGGGTTTCCCCAGACTCCAACTTGCCCACGTTAATCCGTAGATGGATGACAATTAATGCATCACTTAGATTCTATATACATGCTCATTCTGCTTAATATTTCACCATATCAATAAACCACGACCAAGAGATCTAAACCCATTCATATTCTTGCCAGGCGGTGATATATAGAACTATAGATCTATTGGAGAGTCAGGGAAGCGTTTTATTTTTGTACTCGCCAGATTCTCATTTCTCTACATTTTAAGTAAAACGTGGATTCAACGGTTGAAATAAACGACCAAATCCCTGTTTTCTTTTTGTTCTTTTCTTTGGGAATTGAGATTTTTCTAGTTGGTGATGCATATAGAGTTGAGAGACAAATGGGAGAGTTTGACCCTCCTTTTTCAGCTCTGGTCTTTTGTGTCAAGAAACTGAAAAAGAGGACAAGAGTAGCCTCCATGAGGACTTCCTACGGTGCATATTGAAATCTCCCGCAGTTTTTATAAGTGCATCATATTCAAGGGTTTTTTTGCCTTTTTTTTTTCTTTATTATTCATATCCCCAAAATCTTAAAATATATTTACTAAAATTTTGTCAAAATAATCTCTCTTATTCTTCATTTTTTCAAAATCAATCTATAAAAAAAAAAATTCAGAATCTCAACAATTATGATTATGAAATCACCAAATTCGTTTTTCATTCGTATTTAAAAAAAAAAGAAAAAAAAAAACCTCTGCAATTTTCATTTTATAACCTCTTTCTTTTTTCTTGTTTTACTAATTTTAGATTCAGATTCCTTATTCTCTTTCCCCCAATTTGAAGTTGAATGATTTTTTATTTTATTTAGAAATCTTAAATGATGAAACTGGTTTTGGTGCTTCTCAGCTGAGATTGCTGGGAGGAAAACGATTTAAAGAAAGGAGACGCTGTCATGTTGTATAATGCTGACATGAAATCCAATTGGACCAAAATATTTTTACTTAAAAATAAAGTTTTAATATATCCTATTTTCGGAATTAAGATTTTAATCTACCTTAATTAAAGAAAATACTTGAGGAGGGAGTATATCATATTTAAGTTTTTTTTATTATTATCTATAATTGGAAAGTTATTCATTAAAATCACTTCTGGCCTTTGTTTCTAACCGTCGTTTACTCCTTTCATGTGCTTACTCGTAACTGCTATAAGAACAAACATTAATGCATTTGAATTATTCAAAAAGTCATATCTAAACATATATAGTTCCCATTTAAAGTTCAAGTCATTTGTTAGAAAACTTTTGTGCCACGGCTTGTAGTCAATTTTCAACTTCAATTATTACCATACTTTTAAGAAATGAGTCTTAAATGGATCTAAATTTTTATTTTACACTTAGAGTTGTAGATGTAAATATTCTTCTTTCACTTGCTAATTTTAAAGTTTAAAAGGTTTTATAACTGAAGTTACAAAATTTCAGATTTAAGTTTTCTAACATTAAGCAAATTATTAAAAATATCTCTCAAACTTTCTCGGAGGATAAACAATGAAATGAATAGTTAAGATTCTAGAATTTCTAATTTTGATGTATCGATTTCATATATATATCATGGAAATAGAAGAGATGTTTGTGAGGTAAGATAGAGTTCCAATTGTTGTCGAACACTGGGAGAGGATTAAAGCAATACCTATAATTCAACTAATAATTAAGTTATTAAATTATCAACTCTGTGTGATTAATATTTTTGAGTTTTGACAAAAAGAAATAATCAAAATATATAATTAATATTGTTGGATTTTTTTTCCTCCAATGTTGTGGAAGGTTGTTGTTAACATGGAATATGTATTAATATTTATGAAGACAAAAACTGATTGAAGATATATTTTTGCAGTCCAATGCCACACTGGTGTGTCTAGTTTTGGTTGTGTAGTGTTAATCCGGAACATAAAACATGGAAGCTACAACTATGCTAGCTGCATTTCAGTTTGCCTAAAAGAATTAATGAAAGGTACAATTTAGTTTTCCTACTTTAGTCGTTCAGATGAGTTTAATGTCAAGAAATACTATACTAGTAATTCGACCAAAAAAAATACTATGCTAATGCTAGTGATTGATCTGAGATTCATCAAATGATAGTAAAATTGTTACTAGATTTAAGTTTTGTTTCATTTTTTTAGGAAAATATAGCCTTCAGAATTGGAGAAAAGCTTGCATTTTGACAAATCTTTGGGCTCTGCTAACTGAATCTGTTTCTATCTAGATTGCATGTAGGGTATATTTACTAACGCCAAGAAGCTTAATTATGGCAAGTTTTATCCTCTCAAAACAGCAGCTGCAGCTCCAAGAAACTACTAAAGCTTAGACCTAAATAGTCATTCTGAAACCACATGTAAATAATTTATGAGACAAAACACATAATCGAAGTTGGAGTAATTTGAGCCTTTGAGGTGAGAGCTCAAATGAATGAAATCTTTTATGATTTTATGTATATTCTAAAAGACAATTCCAAGTTTTGAGGATACTGGCTTGTTTTAGACCTCAGCCGACTTTCTCACGTCAAAAGAAATCTGGGAATGAGTAGCTAAACTCTCTATTTTATCTAATGCTGAAGTGGTTTGTTTCCTCGTAAACATTTATCATCATCAATAGAAGAACACCAAAAGAATGAAAGAAAAAAAAATGAGGCAGCCATCCAAATAAATTCCGGAAAATATTCAAATCAAACTATGATAGCAATTCAAGCATCTCCCGTTCCACTCAAAAAGTTTAATAAAAAGAAGAAACAGACCAAATTTACTCTATAACATAGCAGTTCCAGTTCAAATAAGTAAGCAAGCGAAGACGAGAAGTTCAGAACCATTAGAAAAAAAAAAAAACTTTCCAGAGTTCCAACAAACCAGCTGAGCTAGCTATCTCCCCAACATCCCTACAAAAACAGTAATAATATATGTTAATCAATCATAGGATTAAAAAGTCATGCATATAAATGAATCAAGAGCCAATTATACCCACCACAGAGAGCAGGAAAACTGATCAATCGTCATCGTTGTCAGCGAGCCAAGCAGAAATTAACTCGACTACCTGAGCATCCAACGCCTCAGCAGCAAAGGTTAATGGATGAATCGCTTCCCTGATTTGGACGATTGCCTGGTAACGTTTTTCCACCGAATTTGTTAATTCAGTCATCTCTTCTCTTGTCTGGGCTGTCCAGGCTTTCAACCTTTTCACTTTCTTCCCTGCTTTCTGTTATGATTAATTACAAGTTTGAACAGCTATTAAGGTTAGGGGAACTGGGAAAAGGAGAAAGAATAGAGGAAAAAAAAAGAAAAGAAAAATCAAGTACCTTAATCCTTCTTCGAAGAAGATTCAAATCTCTTTCTCTTTTGGGCATGATGGATCCTTTTTTCTTTCAACACTGTAAAAGTATATTTCTGTCAATGCATTCAGCATAAAAATAAAAATTGAAAACTAACAGTCGAGAAGGAAAACAAAACTAAAAGGATTTCTTTTTTGGAAGAAGAAAAAGAAGAAGGTTCCAAAATTTAGCATTAAAAAGGAAAAAGAGTGTGCTTTTTTGGTGTGATAACGAACATAACATTTTCGGTGTTTAAACTGAAAAAAAGTGTGTTTATATTGAATCAAGAGAGATAGTTATAAATAAAACAAGAAATTTTTGCCAAATTGAAATGAAACAAGAAGTTGATTACCGATATAAACCTTCAAAACAAGGAATAATATATGAATACCCAGCACTACCGTAAGCGAAAAAGGATGTGCAGGTTGAAGGACTGCAGTTTGTCTTATTTATACTTTATCTGATAGTTATATATATATATATATATATATATATATATATATGATTTAAACGTGCGATACTCGGGCGGCCTACCTAGAAGCCGTGCTATATTTGAACAAAAGTCGTACGATTCCAAGACAGCGGAGTCCACCATGTCAAAATGGAATATCATGCAGCTGTTTTTCTTCTTCTTCTTCTTCTTCTTTTTTGGTGGGGGGGGAGGGGGTGGTTGGAGAATTATACATATTGATGATAGAGACGTGTTTATCAGTTTAGAAAGAATCCTTTTTCTATATAACAATCTGAAAGTTATGATAAAATCAGGGTGGTGTTGCCTTCTAATTGGTCTAGAATGTTTCATTGTCCCAATTGGACCCTTTTTATTGGACAGAAATCCAATCAGCAGCCATATTGGTTATACAACTTACACAGTTCATCTTCTTCAGATTTCCAAACCAAAGTGAAGACTTATATAATGTATTCTTGCTTTGATCCCTGCATCACAGCCATTACCTCAACTTTGATTTTGGGTTTGGATTAATTAGCCCCATAACTAAACATGGTCTAAGGAGTGGGAAAAAGGACCAATTGTGAAGATAGCCAATTGTTAAAGAGAGTGGTGTATGAATGCATGCATGCATGCATGTAGATACACTCATGAAAGTAGAAATAATCAATGATTTAAAAAATATAGAACACAACCAAGAGCTGTGTGGCCTCTTGGGATAACATTAAGCTCTTAATTACCGTGATTAAAATTCAAATCTTAATCATTTAAATACAAAAAATATATATATAAACAAATGGTATAAAATGAACTATAACATTATGGTATATAACAACTTAGAGAGTTTTTTTTTTAAGTAACAATTTAGAGAGTTGAATGTTGCAAAACTTTGGTCATTTAATAATTTTAAATTAATAATGTGATCATAAGATTTTTCTTTTTTTTTTTTTGTCAAGATTATAAGATTTCTTTTCATCTTATACGAATATGCAATAACATTGATAATTGAAAAAAATTAATTTATATTCCTCAAGATTCATGTTTCTAAACACTATTGACTTCTTTCACAAAGATATATATCTTGGGCTCTAAATATTTCAAATGAAAAAAGAAGATATAAGGTGTAAGATCCGTTATTTTATCTAGAAATATAGATGAGTCACATGTCCGAACAAAAATACTTTTACTTTTCTAAAAGTTCTTAAATATTATACTATATAATGTTGAATGAAATGCATGTATTTTATCCATATTCAAATATAATAAGAAATTACCCTTGTCAATTATTGAATACTAGCGACCTTAATTTCTAATTTGATGACATCATATCACATGATACCCAAGAACATTTTATTAAAATATTTATATCAAATTATATTAGACAATAAGCAATAATTTTTGTGAGTTTGCAAGGACTTGATAATTTAGAATCAATTAGAAATGATCCAATACAAGTTGAACTAGAACTTCATCGTTCTTTAATTTGTTCTCTAAATAGCCCAATAATCCCAAAAAAAGTTGAAATGAGAAAGCCCAAATTGTCCTTCTTCATTCTTAAAAGGCCCATAATAGTAATAAAATCTATAAAAAAAATATAAAAATTGTCCCATAAATTTTCTTGTTGCAATTTGATAGACAACTATGTTATGTCTTAAAAAACAATTTAAGAGTAAATTTGGGAATCATTATATTTCTAAAGGGACTCGGGTAGATTAGAGCTGGCAAAGGTGATTATATGAATTGTTGATTCTATAAAAGAAAAAAAAAAAAAAAACAGTGTAAGAAGAGCATGCGTAACACCTGTTGAATAAGAACTGAAAAGGGATTTATCAAAAAAGAGAGATGAAGGGTTTGGAAGATGAAAAAAGAGGGGAAAGAATAAAGTTGTGGATGAAAATTTTAGAAAATGAATAAAATTAAAAGAAAAAAAAGGAAAATAAGCTCAACCATGAAACAAACACAAGACTGGAGAATGACAGTTTGGGACTCCCACGCATCATTTACTTCTCTCTTTTCCTACCTCACTCAAGCCCCAAAAATTTAAAAGAAAAATTATTTCATCCTTTCAGGTAGTAAGAATGTAACTAGTTAACGTTCTTAAATGCCCTTCCCTGTTGCTTAAAGCGCATTTTCTCCAAGTTTACCCCCAGATATTCAACCTTTTCGCTAGTCCTAAAGGTATGGCACCTTCTCCAATTGATTCATCACTGCCTAAAATTCTTTCAAGGCCCAAACCTTTAAATCTAGATAATATTTTGCCTCCGACTTCTGGTTTTGCACTTTCTTTCTTCTGGCTTTTTGCCAGCATACAATTTAGTTTCTCTAACTTCAATCGAAGCTCTAAAATCAACATTGTTTCTAGGTTTCCTGGTATTTGGCATATTGCAGCAGTTTTTTTGGTATGTGAGGTACTCTTGGTGGCAACAGCATTTTTGTGTTTTTTTATAGGGTCAGAAAAGTTCAGATAATGCTAGCATAAAAAAAGGAATGAATATATACAACAAGACTTTAGCTTCTAGTTACTATGTATTCCCATATTGGCTTTTGATTCGATCTTTCATCTTACTTCTTGAAGTTATTTGAAAAGGTTTGCTGTCTCTTACCCTTTTAAAATTACATGAAAATATTGGCTTCGCCTGCATGTATCAACGTTCATTAGCATACACTCCTGTGAGATATATAATGTAATTCATTTTTTCTATTTGGATTCATAGTTAGAGCTTTAGTTTGTAAAGGCATTTTTGTAACAGTAGCAAAAGTTGTGAGCTTTCTTTTGCAGTGGTGGCATTTTATATCTAAACGCTTCTACCAAATAACAAGCTGGGTTTGGAACCAGAGACAGAATGTTGATGAGCTCATTTAAGGATAGTTTTATTGATGTATATGTTCAATTCTTTTTCTTTCCAAAAGGTGTAAGTGTATAACAGGTTCTGATTATATGAATTGAATTGTTATATTTATTTTATATTGATGCAAATGTCATGTTTTCAATTGTGATACTTTAAAATATATATATATATATATATCTATGGATGTATATATATTAATTTTTCCTTACATTCATGCACTTTAATAAAATTTCATTTCATAATGAAATATGTATATCATATTATTTTTTTAAATTTAACTTTGTATGTCCAAACTCTTCCACCAATGTAAGTTTTTCATCATTACACCTTTTTAAAATGTAGCTCTTCCATTTCATATTTGGTTTTTGTCCTATTTTGGATCCTTATTTAATTGGTTGATATTTAAACTAGACTATAGGATGATTTTGCATTTGATTGTTTCTTAGGTCTTCCTAACTATAAAGATACATGGTTTTCTTAACCATGGCGTGCTCCGTTCTTTTCTATAATGCTTTTTGCTTTATTTGTACATAGACATGTTTAAGTTTGTTATGCCTTTTAAGTGCACCTCTTTGTTACGTAAATCCAAATATAACAATTTTGTATTTTGGCTTTATAAATCCGAACATGTTGCAAGTAGATTGCAATGGGAAAGAATTTGTCCTTGGTGGTGCAAACGGAATGAGTCATGGTCTTACATCCGTGTTGATGCTTTGAATGATAAAGTAGAAGTGAAGGCTCCTATGGTATGAATCACCATCTCTATTAAAGTTCATATGTATTTTTTTTTAATATTGAATTATATTTAATAATTATATTTCAAAAAAAAAATCATATCTTAATATTTCACAACATAAATTCTTTTATATTTTATAATCATATTTTTAGCATTGAATTATATAAATACATATTTTAAATTTCCTATTAATGCTCACAACAAAGTGCGGGTTTATTTTCTAGTAATAATAATAATAATAATAATAATAATATATTAAAGTTATCCTAAATTTATAAAAGTCCTTAATTTACAAGACACCTAAGATGGGACACAAAAAATTATTAAAGGGTTAATAAAGGTACGAAATAAATTAGGTGGGGGTGATTTGGAGAAAGAACTTTTAGCATTGTTTTCTTTGTTTTGAGCACATGTCAATCAATGTTTTTCAGATTTTTTAATTTCTATTCTATTTTGTTTTTTCTTTTTAGTTTTATTTTTTATTTTTTAGTTTGCCTATTTATTTGTTTATTTTTTTTATTTACATACATATTTTAATTTTTAGATTAGGAACATGTTTTAATCATTTGAAAATATAAAAAACCAAAAATGTGTTAAACAAATAAATATTTAATTATTATTATTATATTTATTTATTTGTATCATGTAAATTTTTTTAAAATGAAAATAAATAAAAATTATTCCAGTGATAAAATTAAAAGAAAATTACAAGTGGTGCTTGAAATTCTTAAGTGAGGAATTTTATTAAAATCTTACCAAAAATATTTGAAAGATTTTGGAAGTATTGTAATTGGGTGTGCTTTTTTTTTTATATAGGTTTTAAGTTTTTATTATTTATTATCTGCAAACAACTAAAATAATAAAAACATAATAATAGTAATAATGAAAATATACATATAAAAATATATAAAAATAAAAATTAAGTTACTTTTTGTTTTTCTTTCTTTTGTTTTAAGTATTTTTATAAAAAATTTGTCATGTACAAGAATTTAAAAAAATCATTCATTTTGATCAAATAATTACTAAAAAATATAACACTAATAACATAATATGAAAAGATAACAAAAAGTGTAATCATAATATATGAAATACTATATGTGTTTTCATAATAATATTTTTGTTTACTTTTTTATAATTTTTAGATTAACATAATTAGTCTACCACTATTTGTTGAGAATTAATAATAATAATAATAATAATAACAATAATAACAACAACAACAATAACAACAACCTTTTGGCTTTGTCTATACTGACTCACACCTCATTATGGCCTAAAATGGAAGAAATTTCTTTGTGTTGTTCATTTGTTGGAAACCACTGAGAGTGTAAATGATATATCAGTACTCGTAAGTTATTCAAACTCAATTCAGATAAAATTCGAATTTTGTTCAGTCATTGTCAAGTTGACTTCAAGTTCGAATAATTTGACTTATCAAGTAAACCAAGTTCGATTATCTTAATACCTGACTTGAATAGCTCGCGAGTCTAATTAAATATATTAATGTTTGATTTAAGTAGTTAGCAAGTCTAGTTGAGCTTTTATATTTTAATATATATTTTTATTATTTAATTAAAAACTATAATTTTAACCTTATATTTTAATATCAATTTGAGTTCAAATTCAAGTTCAAACACAACTAATTGAGTTTGAACTCAAGCTTGAGAATCGAATTCATTTTTTATTAGTAAATGAGTCTAATCAAGTAAGTTTGAATAGCTTGACATTTATCTCGAATCAAACTCAAATAGAAAATTTAAAACTCGATAAAACTCAAATCGAGTTTCGAGTAACAAATTTTGAATTGAGCTTGAACATGTCACTATATTAACTTGGTTCAGCTTAATTACATCTCTAAAGACCATAATAGCCACTGCTTTGTTCTTGTGAGGAGAAAAAAAAAAGGAAAAAAATTTTGTGAAAGCAAGTGGGTTTGTTCCAACCTTCCAAGTTTGGAGATAGAAAGATAATTTTTTTTTCCTTTCTCTTTCCATCTATTTATTAAAGTTTCTGAACTTTTTCTTTTAGATTTCAAAAACCCATTTTGGGCTTGGTAAGTTCGGTCAATATTACATGTACTAGAATGCTACATTGCTTTTGTTGGGGATTTTTTTTTTAATTTTCATAAAAAATTAATTTTAAAAATTTTATATTTTTTTGTTCTTAAATTTTTAAATTTAAAAAACAAGTTTGAAAATCTAATATCTAGAGATATTTATATGGTTGTTTGTGTTAAATGGTTGTAATTAATTTCTTTTCTTTTGAAATTTATTAAAAAATTTTCAATTCTAATGTTTTTAGTTTTTTTATTATATTTTTTATTTTTAGGATATTTTTTAAAATATTTAAATTCTAAATTTGGTAATTTTTTAAAAAAATTTTGTTATTTTTTTATGAGTTTTTTTGTTGATTTTTGTGTTGATTTATTAATTGATTATTGTTTTAGATGTATTGTTTCTGTCTTAATATATGATCAAGATTTAATATGTTGGTTAGTCTTAAGAGTTTTTAGGATGACTTTTTCATTGATGAATTGAATATATTTTTAGAGATTTCTTTTACAATCTAAGTGTTTTTTTTCTTTTTGCCAAAAAATTTGAAAAGTTTTGTAATTGCCAACAACACTTCCTCTTCCCTCTACTCACCTCTTTTTTTTTTTTTTTTTTTTAGTATATCATAATTATAATTAAGCAAATAAAAAGAAAATATTTTGTTTGAAAAACTTTAAAATTTAAAAATGCCACATGGCATTGGTGAGAAAAAAGCTTGTCACTTGTCAACATACTACCTTTTAAAAGATTTTGAATTTTTTTTTTAAAAGAGATGACACGTGGCAAGCAAAGGATTTGCCATATGTCACCACACTATCCATTAGATGGCGTTTAGTTTATGGAAAAGTAAGATTTGTGGTTGGAATCTTACTTTTCGTAATTTGATTCGTTAGTTTAGTTCATGTAACATGATTCTTGAGATTTTTTAAATTCTCAATAGTGTCAAAAGGGGGAAAAATAGGGGTGAATTTAAAACTCACATCTCTCTAAGGTTTGTTTATATTTTGGAGGGAGAATAAAAATTTTGCCCCATTTGTCCTCACTTAATTGTATTTTTAAATTATATTTCCTTTTAGTTTCCTAAAATTACAAAGTAAATATGAATTTTGTTAATTATAGTTTTAATGAATATTGTATTTTAAAGATAAAAACGTAGTAAATATTCAAACTATATTTTCAAAATTATGACATTTTAACAAAAACTATATTTTTAAGATAAAAAACATAATGAATGTTAAATCTATAGTTTCAAAATTTTGGAATTTTAACAAATACTGCTCTTTTAAGATAAAAAACACAATGAATGTTCAAACTATATTTTTGAAATTTTAAGATTATAACAAAGATTACATTTTTTTAAAAAAATACAATGAATGTTGAATCTATATTTTTAAAATTTTAAAATTTTAGCAAACTCTGCATTTTTAAGATAAAAAAAATATTGAATGTTGAAATTATATTTTAAAATTCTAGAAAGTAAATATGAATTACAAAGTACATTTCTTTTTTAGTTTTTTTAAGATAAAAAACTATATTTCCTTTTTAGTTTCCTAAAATTACAAAGTAAATATGAATTTTGTTAATTATTGTTTCAATAAATATTGTAGTTTTAAGATAAAAACGTAACAAATGTTCAAACTATATTTTCAAAATTCCAGAATTTTAATAAAAACTGTGTTTTTAAGATTAAAAAAAAACATAATGGATGTAAATCTATATTTTCAAAATTCTAGAATTTTAACAAATTTCTTATTTTTTAAAAATAAAAAACACTATGAATGTTCAAATTATATTTTCAAAATTTTAGAATTTTAGTAAAGATCACGTTTTTAAGATAAAAAATACAATGAATGTTTCTATATTTTCAAAATGTTGAAATTTTAACAAATTTTGCGTTTTTAAGATAAAAAAAGTATTAAATCCATGTTTTGAACATAAAAAAAGGCAAAGTGAATATTGAAATTATATTTTTAAATTCTAAAATATTAACAAATACTTTGTTTTTAAGATAAAAAAAACGTAATAGATGTTTAAACTATATTTTTAAAATTCTAAAATTTTAACAAAGACTACTTTTTAAAGATAAAAAACATAGTCCTTATTGCTACTCATAACAAAATTAAAGGAAAATATAAAATATATTTACTTAATATTATTACATATAAAATCTAAAATGTATTTACATAATATTATTATGAATGTTTTTAAGATTTGTATGTTGTCTTTGCATAGGAACAATCAATGTAAAGATAATAATTAAAATTTTAAAATTATCTTTATTGAAAATATGACAAAATATTTTTCAAAATTCTAAATTTCAACGAAAACAAGTTATTCACGTCTAACGTGCTATTAATGTTGTAGACACCTAATTTTTTCTGGACATATTCTTATTAAACACAATGCTTTACAAATCGAGACACAGGTCTTTTACAAAATTTTTTTAAGCTTTACAAAAATTTCATAGTTTTTGAATAAACTAATTCTTAGGTTGATACAAGAAAAGTAGCAATGTGGTTCAGCCTAGGTCACCTCATTTGTCGACTTAAAGTTTAGTTTCAATTACTCTGATTTTTGACTTGTAATTCAATTTCAGTCATTTTATTTTTCAACTTGTAGTTTAATCTTGATTATTTAATTTTTTAACTTACAGTTCAATTCCAGTCATATTATTTTTTTACTTACGTAAAATATTGAAAATTCAAATAATCTTTTCATATTAAATCTCTAAATAATAAAAACTATATGCATCTCAACTCTAACTATCAATTTTATATTCAAAACTAGGCAAGAAATTTGATTTAATTTTTATCACTTATTATGTCATTTTAATTTTTTTAAATATCAATTTGAAAATTATCTATTCAATCCTAAATATCATCCCAAAGTTATTTTACAAATTAAATATTATAAATGTAATGTGTTATATCATCTTTTTTATTTTTTGATTTGAAATTTATTTTTTGGTTTGTTTTTTTAAGTATGTTTTATTACTATTGTAAATTTGTTCTTATGAAAATTAATATTTTTGTCAATTTAGTTTTCTTTTTTTTTTTCACACATCTTTTAACATTTTTCATATTTTGTATAGAAATTTGAACAGGATTACAAAAATTGAAGTATGTCTATATTTTTTTATTATTTAATTCAACATTTGATAATATATATTTGTTCTTTTAAAAAAGACATGTAATTTATTTTGTTTGATATAAACTTTAGGTATACAAATATTATTGCAAATAAAGATGATGTAATGTGAAGACATGTTTTTTTTTATTTTTTTAAAAAATTTGTGACATATTAGTTAGATATAAAATTTTATATATGTTATAAATTTTAAAAATTTAAATATAATTTTAAAAAGAATATTAATTTATATATACAAAAAATAAATAAAATTATTTTGTGTATAATAAGAGTTACAATATAATTTTAATTATAAAATATATTTATAAATATTAAAATATTATTAAAAAAATATTTTATTATTAAATTAATATAAATGTATTAATAGAATCAAAATCGAGATTGAGCTTGATTGGACCCCGTCACTTGAGCATGTTTACCTATATCCTCTCAAAATACATAACAAGCATATTGAATTTTTATGTGGCTTTTAGATATTGTGTACTTCATCTCTACAATTTTATATCACGAACAAATTCAAATTCAAGGTATATGTTGAAAACGAGAACAAAATTCATTTTCCTTTTCTACTACTATTTTCCTTCGTTTGACAAATAAATAAATCCTTCACTTCCTAGACATAGAAATAGAAAACATTATCAATTTCAAAATAAAAAAAAAAAAAAACTACAGAGTCCATTTTGATGAGTAAGCTTTTAATATCAAAGGAAAAAAAAAAAAAGTAAAGATTTGGTTGTTCATACTTACAGTCGTCATGCCTCTTCATAAGGCTATTTACCCAATGTTGTTTAGATCCTCTTCTCAGCTCCGAACTTCTTCCACAGAAATTTGGTTGCTTTGATGAAGAAAAGCTTAATTTGGGTGTGTTTCAGTATACTGGCAATTCTCGACACTTGACAAACTTGTACTGAAATATTTCAAGTCAATGGAAGACTTAAACTAAGACCACACGATGATTGCACAAATCTCAATATTGGCTGTCAGCTTGATACTAAAACAATTAAAATTTCTTTTTAATAATTGATAATGCTCTTGAATATAAAGACAAACGATACAATCATTTTGTTTTTCATTTTGCAATGTGCAACAATGCTCACAAGGACAAGAAGTGGAGGAATTCCAATCTTATCCTTTCTTATTGCAAATACACATAATAATTTACATAATAATATTTCCTTCTCAATGTATTAATACTTTTTTTATGGGATAATATCTTATTTGATCCCTCAATTATTATATTTTTTTTAATATGATATCTAAATAAAAAAATTTTAATTAAATACTTAAATTATATTTTTATGTATTAAATTATCTTAACTTTTATATTATTAAAAAAATATTGATGTGATATAAATATTTAAATTAAATATTAACAAATATCAAAACAATTCATTCAACATCATATAATTAATGTCACATTGATATTTAAAAAAATTTTAAAATAATTCTAAAACATTTTAATTTTTTTAAATTCTAAAAAAATTTTAAAAAAATTGAGGATAGGGATCTATTGAAGAAATCAATTCTGGAAGAATTAAAATTCTTGGACTTGGATTGAAATTGGGATTATATCCCTATAAATCAACATCGAAGCTGAGAGTGATAAAAAAAAAAAAGATCACGATAAAAAAAATTGGAAAAGGAAGATTGGTAGTGAAAAAAGTTCAGTTACAAGTAAATTTAGGGAAACAATAGAATTTCACTATCAATAGGAGTAGTGAAAATTTTTCACAGTCATCAGCTACGTCCAATCAGCTCTGCCATTCCCTGCTCCAAAATCACATACCCAATTTCCTAGTAAAAAAATTCATAAACACAATTTAGAATTTTTTAATCAAGCAAGAAACAAAGCCTTAGCACCAGAAAATCGAAGAACCCCACAAAACCCCTAGTCCCAACAACATAAGAAGTGAAACCCAAACCCAAAAATCAAGTCAACCTAAAGCAAGCCCTAACACAGACGATTGAAAGCATTCAAGCAAAAACCTAGAAGCCAAATCAGCAGCTCTAAACTAAAAGCAACCACAAGTAAGAACAGAGAGTTACGGGCAGATAAAGAAAACTCAAGCAACTTAGTAGTCAAAACCCAAAAATCTCACCAATCCGAGAACACCTATAAACAATTTAGTATCCCTAAACCCAAATCCTGCATACAACAAAGAAATTCAACACACCATACGCAAACCCTACAGAAAACAACCATAATCCATACCTATAATCACAGAAAACAAAAAGCATAAAAAAGAGAAAGAGATTAAGGTTTCGGTATTAGAATTTCAAGTTAAGGCTCTGGGATTTGATATTTGTTCTTATAAAAGACTTTGTGTTAGTGGTAGAGCTAGTGGCAAAAAAGGCAATCAAAGCTATGGTTTTTGAAATTTGATCTTGGATTCTTGAAGAATTTTTTGAAGACTTGTTTAAGTGAAAAATGGAAAAAGTTTGAAGGGCAAGGGCAAAAAGTGAAGGAAGCAAGGAAAAGAAGGAAATGCTAGTAAAAAAAAGGGGAAAGGAATTTCAATGACTTTTGGCGAGACCAGTGGCCATCGGTGGTGGTATATGGGGCCAATGAAAGTCGTAGAGGGTGGGCGATTTTTGAGATTCCTTGTCAATGCTTTTGATAGGGGAAAGGAATTTTTAGAATTATTTTTTATTATTTTTGAATTTTTAAAAAATTTTTTTGATGTTGACGTGATATTGATGACGTGATATTAATTAAATTTTTTTTATATTTATTAATATTTTATTAAATATTTATATATATTTTTTAATGACGTTAAGAGTTTAGACAATTTAATACATTAAAATATAATTTAACTATCTGACTAAAATTTTTTTTGTTTAAGTACACATTAAAAAAAAAAGTAATAATTTAGAGACCAAATCAGTCATCATCTTTTTCTTAAATTAAAATACTAACAAATATTATATTTATATAATTAATTAAATAATTAATTAATAATTAAAATTTAATTAATAATCAAATCCACGTATAGGAAAATTCGAATCACTAAATTAATGTCTCATTCATATCTATTTAAAATATTATTAAAATATTAAAAAAATTATATTATATGAATATTAATATTTTACATATTTTAAAATTAAAATTATATAATATTTTTATTTATAAATAAAATTTTTTTGGACCTAGCAGAGTCTAGCTGTACTTAAAATTTTCATGTTCAAAACCCAGCATAAATGTATCTAAAATTTGCTGTGAACTTAAGTGTTTCTTTTACCCAAACTTTTCATAAAATTGAATTTATATCTTGATGTTGAAATAATAATTCTCCATAATTCTTGTAATTATATAAATTACTTTTAGTATTTTTTTTTCAAAATCTTTTTGTAGTATATTTAATTCTTAAAAATAATAAAATTTCGATAAATCCTGAAAAAATTATACATCAAAACGTCGCATTACGCCTCTCCTATAGTTTTATATTAAAATGATTTTAATTTTTTTATAGTATAATTGTTCAATGCTTTAACTATAAATAAATAGAAAAAGATTAAATATTGATTAATATGAACTATAGAAAAGTAAAGGTTATAAATATTATTAAAAAAATATTTTAAAAATGTTTTCAAGAAAATCAACAACAAATTATCATTTATAATTTTTTTTTTCATGAGAGGATTAAAGTCAATAGGAAATTTATAGTTTTTTTATGTTATTACGCAAAACTGTATACCTACATGTCATCAATTCAAGTTATAATATTGCAGATGTTACCGTGCTACATTCATTATCAATGATTCAATTACGTAGTTTTTTTTTTTTTTTCTTTAACAAAAGATTACAGGTTAAAAATTGGAGAAAAAATTTTAAATATTGGGATTTGAGTATAAATATATTAAATATTATTTTTTAAAATAATTATATAAATAAATTGAACTAAATTTTAAATTCAAATTTTAAAATTTCTAATATAACCATCTACTTTGCTTTATCTTCTATTAATAGACCAAAAAATTAAAAAAATAAAAAATTGAGGTTTCTGTGGATCAAACTTGATCAGGCGTATATAAGTTGTTTTATTTGTAAAGTCAAGCTCAAGTCCAATCAATCCATTTACATATTATTTTATTGTTAAAATAATAAAATATTATTTTATATTAATAATTTTAAAATATTAATTTATTAATAAATTGTCTTAATTAAGCTTGGTTGACCAAATCAAGCTTAAAATTTTATGGCGCTGAAGCCAGATCCTTCAACACTTTTAGATCAAAATATGTATCTTAAATTAGTTATTCGAGCTAAGTTGTATGTTAAGCACTATGTTTTGAGTGTTATTTTCTTATAGTAATTTGTGTTTGAATGTAGATTTTGGATGTGTTATTTCTTTAATGGTTGATGATGAAGGTGAAGATTATGATTACATGGTGGCCAGAAAATTCAGTGAAGAAATATAAGAGAGAGAGAGAAATTAACTTTAATGGAGTATGTTAAATTGCATATATCCAATGAAAATCGCACAAGCATTTGTGTTTTTAATTTGATTCTGTTTGATTGAAAGTTTTATTCCTTCCATCTCAATTTGTTTATCTTTTATTATTTTTCACAGAAGTTAAGGAAAAAAATTAACTTTATTTAATTTATTTAATACTAACATTTTACACTTTTTTATAAAAATTTATGTTCCATAGTTTTCAATATTAAATAAAAAAAAATTTTAAAAATAATTTTCAAATATAAAAGCCTAAGAGTTTTAAGTATTCAAAAAAAAAAAAAAAGAGGACGTAATTTCGAAACATTCAAAAATGAAAAATAGACAAAAAAAATGAAACATAAAAAGTACTTTTTAATTTTGAAATAATAATAAATAAATAATAAATAATAAAAATATCAATCAAAAGAAACCTAAGATTTATGTTAGTTTTGATGTGGTTCTTACTTTCATACTAATATTATGTTTGGATAAATATTAATAAAAGAAAAGATTAAAAAAAAAAAAAGGTTTTTAAAAGAAAAAAAATGGTGTATGTACCATTTATTTATATAGTTAAAATTAATAAAGAAAAAAAAAAATTTATAACAACCATTGTTTAGATAAATAATAAAAAAAAAAGTAATTCATTATAATATTTTTTTCAATTATATCTTTTTTTATAAAATAATATATAACTATATAAATATATTTTTATACTACGTAATTTGTATAAATAAATTTTTCTAAATAAAATTGAGTACGCTTAATACAAAAATGTATTAACTAGTTATTGATTTATTCTTAATTTTATATTTAATTCAAAATTTTAATTTATTTTGATAATAATTTGGCTTGTTTTATTATTAGGACTTGAAAAATTATATGATATTTATAAATTGTGATGTTATATAAAATACTCATAAAAAAATTATTTTTGTCGAAGGTGTTAGTTATATAATCAAATTTAATATCATAATAAAAATATGAATATAATAGTCTTTTCATAGAAATAAATTTTTTTTAATTTTCTTTTATTTAACTTTTTTCCCAAATTGATATATTAAAAAAATGAGAATTATAAGAGAAACCAAATGTTATTAGATTTTCACTTCTTTTCTTTCCTTTAAATTAAAAATGTATTTAAACGAAGGAATGGTGTTTTTGTTTACATTACTTTACTTTATTTTCCTTTATTTTCCTTTCCCTCCCCTCAATCCAAATATAGTGTAAAAAAATGCTTAAAAAATTCTTCATTGCTAACACACCATTGATTACAACAAGAAATCTACTATATTTAGATGGAAAAATATATGGCCTTTAGTAGTGTGGAATCTACTAGATTTACTAACCAATTTGCCTTAACTAGTAATGTGTGTTTTAATTCTTTTAGTAGCTGTGTTTGACTTAATTACTACTTGTCTTTTGAATAGTGCAATAATTCCATTAATATCCTACTTATAATTCTTTTAGCTATAATTTTATAAATATTTCATCATAACAAATTTTATATATGGATCCATCACTTACAAATGTTACTTTTATGTAATATTTAGATGATTTTCTATAATTTTAAATTATGATTAATTAATTATAATGCAATAATTATTGATTATATGTATTCCAATTTTTAACTTTTTGTTTCTTTTTTGTCTTTGTTACAACAGAAAAATTATTAGAGAAGCCAATTTCAACTTTCTAAAACTTTTTCTAATAACACCTTTAAAATTAATTTATGATATAAGTCACAATCATATATGAATTCTTATAATTCTT